CAAAAATATATATTTAATGAATTACTGTAGGAGACACACTCTACTTTTTGCTTACAGATTTGTACCATAATCAACAAGTATAAATACACCATGAGTGTGTCTGCAATGAATATATATTTGAGTGGAATATAAAACAATGGAAAAAACCACTATAATGGAATGGGAGGTGAACTGTGCAGGACGAACATTTTTCCTGAGTGAATAATGAAAAAAATGCGTGTATCACATTGCATTCGACGATATATCATCTATTTTGAGTATCAGAACTGTCAAAAAAAGAAAGAAGAAAAAGAGAGAGACAGAGACAGATTAAGCTCCCATTTGTAATTCTAGTAGTAATGGGCGGTGTTCGTTATAAATATATAAATATATAGGTGTGTGTGCATATATATATATGTATATATATGTATATATACACATACATATATATACTTATATATACATATAAATATATAAATATAATTATAATATAAATCATATATAATAAATATGATTTATGTAATAAGTAATGTTAATGGTAATAAGTAATAATGATAATATTAATGGTAACATTGATAAATAATAATAACATTAATGTTAGTAACGATAATATACGTTTAAAACATACAGTGTATGATGAAATTTTGGCACGCGAAACGTCTTGTAAGATAGTACGCCATTCCTGCTGCTATGATTACCTATGTATTTACTTTCTTAGTTTGTAAACATGTATAACAAATTCTTGCTCTGAAATATATTGTATATTAATTTTATTCAATAATTCATGATAAATTATAAATGATTACGCAAGAAAAAATAAACTTGTGAATATTATTGAGGATTTCTTCAAGTTCATCTTATCCAAAATTAATACAAATAAGCGAGTTTTACATGAAATAATAATAAATTAGGAATTGCTTTACATTATAGTGTTTAAAAGTTCCTTTTAATTTTTTATATTATAAAATATTTTTTCATATTTTATATTTAATTTTACATTTTTATTTCGAAATTATATTTTAAGTAAGAATTCGTTTGATAAATAATCCATGTTGTAAAATTTGAATCCATTATGAAACGAACTATTGATAGCAATACAAATAATATTTTCAAGAATTCGTTTAAATAAACATCAATACATCACATAGTAGAATCTAAATGAAATGATAGAATCAAAATAAAATCTATTATTTATATAAGAATCAATATTAAATTTTTAAACTTTGAACAACACAAATAAATATTTTCATTTTTATCATTGTGCAGTATTTGAAAGGTGTGTTAGTTCTTTATACGTTTCAAGTGTACAATTTGAAGTTTTATTTATTTTGTCTCTTGAAATGTAAAAGAAATATGTTGTAAATTTTGTATGAACTACATATAAAAATTTTTATCAAAATATTGTATCTTATTTTTAAACAATAATTTATGCATTTTACAATTGCCTTTATAGAATTAAAAGAGTGAATAATGTAATATTTTATTTTACGTTTCTAGATTTAAATAGTGCATTATATATGTACCAGTATGTGTATTAACATTTTATAATTATAACAATTCATCTAATATAATTATCATTTTGACAATTATTCTTTATTAAATTAATTAAGCGAATATGAAAACAATTTAAATTAATGTAGAAATTAATGGAAAATGTATATGATTCTTAATGGTATTTGCATCGATTTACATAAATTATTTTAACGATATTAAAAGATATTACACAAAATTATAAACTTATTAGCATTTGCACGTATCATTCTATATATGTACATAATATTTTATGCTTAGAATATATTAATTTAGTATATACATATATAATGAAACAAAAAACACGATCAATACAACCATTAATTAATATTCAATTTACTAATTCCGATTTTCTCTATCAATTTAAACACTATATGTACGTAATTTTTAAATATATATAGCTTGTTCTTTCTTTAATGAAAAATAATATTTAATAATGTCAAATCAATTCGTAACGAAAGACCAGTCGAAATTAATTATAAACGTTAAAGGTTCAACTTTGTCAGAACGTACAATACTAAAAATTCAAGAAACTTTACGAAAAATTCAATCAGAAATTCAAATCGAATCAAATGTAGATTATGACAATTTATGCGGACCATGGGTTTACTCAGAAAATCCTCTTCAAAATACATACGTTCATTCACCTCAGCCAAGTTTGTGTATTTGGAAATATTTTACAGAAGAGGATGTAATTTATCTTAAAAAGTATCAAGAGAACAAGAACCTAATATGTTCTTTTTTTGGTAAATAAACATAAATGTTAGTTTCATAAATATCACTTATTTATATAAAACAAAATAATGTTTCTTTTGCAGGAAATAAATTGTTAAATGCTACTGCAGGAAAAAATAATACTATTCTTACAAATGTGTTATGGGATTTTTTCAAGTTTGCTAGGTATTTGAGTGTACTGAATTTATAAAGAATATTTCATCCTTAAAATTTGTGATTCGTATCTAACACAAATTTAAAAAGTTGATCCATATTAAAATAAATATTTATGAATTATATTTTAGGTTAAACTTATTCAGTGGAAAAGCTATTTCTGCATGTTTGGGAGTCGTGTATTTAACACATTTATTTTTTCTTTCATATCCATGGTGTACAACTCGAGAAGTTTATCAATTTTTTTATAAAACTATGTTATTACATATTGTTTTGGTTTGTACATCTCTTATTTTAACTGTAAAATAGAGTAGATTTTTAGAAATAGATAAAATTTAATAAAGTCTGTAATATAATTTTCAGCACCCTCCAAAAAGATTAGAAATATTTACCGTAAAAGAATGCAAGCTTTTATTTGAATTATTTTATAAAGTATACATAAAAAATCTTGTTTTACTGCATATTCTTTGTCATACAAATTATCATTTTACTCTAAAATTACAACTTCAAGAAATTCAATTATAAAAGACTACTAAAGAAAACATACTGACAAGTAAATTATTTACTCAATGCACGTTTACATTTTTAAATTCGACCCACTTCTATAAAAACGAAGAAATTCTATTACGTAAAAAATAATATAAAAAAGTCCGACGAAATAATATTTTGTTTATATGATCGTTAAAAAATATGATTAGTTCATCCTTAGTAGTCGTCGAATATTTTATATATGTTTATTTACTAGTGGATGATTGATAACCATAATCATGATTTTCTTCTGATCCTACATTTGTGTTCATCCTGTTAAAAGAATTTTCATCACAATCTACATTACTTTTCCGCAACCCGTTTATTAAATATTTCATTCGGGGAAAGCATGAACCGTTACTACACACTGAAATGCGACGTGCTGTCCTTGTAAGATTTAGTTTCTAAATGAAAAAAAATATTTAAGTTTGAATCAATAAAGATTAATGAAAAAGCCTTATAATTCGTGATACAATAAGTATATTAGAATAAATCAAATATGTAATTTTACTTTATGTTTCAACTAAGAACGATAGTATACAGATAGATTATAGATTAATTATACATGAATCAAGAAAAAGTACTTAGATTTCACTTGTTAAACTTATTAAACGAAAATTTAGAAGAACTATAAATTTATAAATCTGTCTTCCAGAAAGCTCCACAATTACAAAGAATAATTTTTAAAAAAAATAGTAATATTTAAAATATAAAGAATAAATTCGAGTATAGTTTTAAGAAATAAATACAAAAAAATTTTTTCATCACAAAAAATAATATCTTTCACAAATTAAAGATTGTATAAAAATATGTTCTTATTATATATCGTTTCTCTACATTAAATATTTTTCCTTTCTTCATACCATTATATCATGAATTATAAGACATGTATTCGATTTTAAAAATATCAAATTATCTTTAATAACTTTATCCAATATTTCAAAAGTTAAAATAATTTGTGATAATTAGAAAAATAAACGAACAAACTTTCACGAATGTAATTACCTTCTGCGATGATAAATATTTAGAGCTTGTAGGAAGACGTATATCAATATTTTTTGGTAATTGACATCCTACACAAACATTTCTAATATTCTTGCTACCAAATCTATGCATCCTTTTTAATCTCTGCATTAGTGCATGATTCATGTGTCTTAATCTCTTTGCTTCATCTATTAATACTCTGCAAATTATTTCATTGAGAGATTTTAAAGTTATAGTTTTATAAAGTACTAATAAGATACTAGAAATTCTGAAAATGTATACCTTTTGTCAAATTCAAGTTGTGCTAATTCCTGTTGTTGGGATTTCAATTTTGCACTAAGTTTGTTTACATATTCTCGTTGTTCTTCCATCCAAATTCGTATACAAGAAACAACATATTGCGACTGATTACAAAGTTCTGATCGACTCATTGCTGTTTCTGTTAATTCCGCTGATATGCAAGCTAATGATTTATTTTTTAACTGACATTCTCTTTTTAATTCTAACAAAGATTTATGTGTCTTTTGTAACTAAAAAAAGAATTTATCTGAAATTATTTTTATTTTATCTCCACTAATTTTTTTTACCTCTGAAATAATTTCACAATTATTCTGTTCTATTATTGATTTTTCTTTAACAAGACTACAATTTCGTTCTTTGCATTCTTGTAATTGCAGTACCATACAGTGATTTGATTCTTCTATTTCTTTAACTTTCTCTTTTTCTTCCTCGAGCTAAAAATATAATAAATATTTAAAATTAATATCATTCAATGTAAAATGTAAAATATAAATTTTTAGTAATAAAAATATTAAATTAATTTATTTCACCTTTTGTTGTAAAATATCTAATTGTTCCACATAAGATTTGCAAATATCTTGTAGTTTGCAATGTTCATCATTTTTTGATAAATAACTTCTTTGCATTTCTTCTAATTCATTTCTTAATTTATCTAAGCAGTCTCCAAGTATAGTTTTTTCTTTCTCCATACTTGATAGTTTTGAACAATAATCTCTTTCCTAAAATAATTAAACAAAAAAGTAAGAGAGTTAGATCAGTTAGATAAAGCATATAAAAATAATAAGCACCATATTTGTTAAACATTCTTGTAAATCAGCTTCTCGTTTTGTAATTTTGATTAATTGTTCTTGTGTTTTATTAAAATCATCAGTAACTCTACAATAATTATCTTCAGTAAAACACAATTGCATTTGAAGATCTTTCAACTGAAACAAAAAAAAATATTGACATTAACATTATGTATAATTTTAAAATTGATAAAAAATATATTAAAATGTATACCATGATTTTCATTTGATAAATATCTTCTTTTGTTCTATCTTCAAAGTTGTTATTTTCTATCTTCAATATAGAATTCTCATTCTGAAATGAATTATAAAATTTTTAATATTAAAATAAAACAATCTCAAAATATTAATACATACTTTTATCAGTTCGTAATCTGCTTGTAATTTAGCCATATCATCTGATTTTTCCTTTAACATTGTTTTCAGAGATTGTATCCTTTCATGTAAAGTTGACATTTCTTCTTCTGCTTCATTTAATTCAGATAAATATTCTTTGATTTGTTGATTTTTCATGTCTAATTTCTTTTCAAATTCTTCAATAATTTCTGTTTGTTTTTTTATAACAACTTCATTATTCGTAATTTGACTGCATAAATCATTAATCTAGACATAATGAAATAAAATATCATTATATATGTATATATATAATTAATTATAATTATTAGAATTGTTTCTTATTGTGGAAATGTACCTGTATCTGTTTTTCCTCTAATTTCTTTAACAATTTCTCAAATTTTGTATTGTTCTCTTGGGACTGTAACTTTTCTATTAAATCTTCTACTTTTCGTGTCTGCTTTTTTAAATCGGATTTAAGTTGTTCATTTTCATATTGTAAACAACACTCTGTATCTCTTAATTTCTGTAATTCAAATGACACTTGTTGAGCGTAAGTACCATTTTCTTTTTCTGTTTTCAATTCTTTGTCAATTATATCAAAATCCAATTTATATTTTTGTAACTGCCTTTTCATATCTTCGTTTTCTCTAATTAAAATTTCAATTTCTGAATGTAAATCATGTTCGTGTGATAAATTTTTACGTTGTTCCTTATTGTTATATGTTAAGTCATTCCAATCAAATGTATCTTGAATAATACAATTTTTATCTTTAACTTCTATTTTACATTGACATCCTTTATCTTCACCAATTTTTGTTTTGTGCTTAATCTTCAATATTTCCTCCCTAAATTAATTAACAGTAAAGTATTTTTTAAAATATACTATATTTTCATATTAATAAAATTCTATATTATATTTTATAATTACCTTAATTCGTGTAATTTTCCTTCTGCTTTTTGCCATAGTTTTTTTGTATTTAAATATTTATTTTCCAAATAGCACTTCGATTGTATCAAAGTATCTCTCTGAAATGAAATTAACATTTTATCGGTAATTTAGAATTTTATTTATAGAATTATGTTTATTTTATAAAGTTGTTATACCTCATTCATTAGAGCTTGAATATCATTTGCACGACTTTCCAATTGTTCCTAAAATATTAATACAATCATTGAAATTAATATTATTTTAATATTTTAATATTAAAATTAATAATTTAAGAATTAGTAGTATTAATATGATATCTATACATAAGTTTTAATATAATAAATGATATATATATATATATATATAT